ATGAATGGATGAATGAATGAATGGATGGACAAATGCATGGATGGTTGGATGGATGAATGGATGAATGGATTGAGATGGATGGATTAATCTGATGGGTGGATATATGGATGAAGGCCGGGTTGAATTTATAAGTGGTTTTGTAGGTACGGGAAACATATATATGAACAGGCCAGGAAAGCATTATCTACGGGCCAGGAGCTTTCCCTATGAAATTTTACCAATAACAGTTCATCGCTCTTGGCATTAGGTGGATATCTGATCGCAAGAGGAAATTCACGCCAAAAAGCTCAGTTACTTCTCCCACTTGAAATTGTCCTTCCTCATCAAGACACTGCAACGACCACGATGTGCCTGCGATTCCAGCACTCAGTGTCCAGCGGGTATGTACCATATACTTAATTAAAATCACTTAAATATTTTGCTGTCTACAAACGACGATTCTTACATATGTAAGTATGTATGTGAGTAGAGTTGTTTGTTGGTTCTCTCCTGTGCTTCAAGGGTTTTTATCCCGGTTCTCCGGTTTTTACTCCGATCCCTCAACAAAAATCAACTTCTAAATTCTAATTTGACCTATATCGGCTGCCTTATCAATTGGGTTGCAAAACCGGTTAGGCATTACGCTGTCCACCCAGGAGTGGTAAATGCATTAGATATATGTCGGTAGTACACTGTACTCGTCTCTCAACTCTAAGATCTTGGCTTCGATTCCTAGACAACGCATCACATGTGAGTAGAGTTGGTTGGGTCTATTCCTCTTCTTTCCCGTGTTCTTGCGAAGAAACGAAGAAAGATAAATCTTGACTGATTATAATGACCTGTTTTATTGAAGTGGCTCTTTGAAAGTCTACGAGATTCAGAACAAGAAAGGCCAACCCTCAAGAGTCCTCAAGACAATCAGTGGTGGCTCTAATACTAACTGGCAATGTGGCACACAGACTGTTAAAGTCAGCACTTTATACCAGGTAAAACCAGTTCACCATCAACGATCTCACAACCAGCCATTCCAAAGTCGAAGAAAAACTGTGTCACGTTAGCATTGCAGTGCATCGTGAGACTGTACGTTTTAGGAGACATTTTTCCAATATGGCGTCCCCTACAACAACCCCACAATGCACTGCAATACAACCGCGACCCTTTCCAAATATGGCTTGGAAGAAATGTTTCCCCATTTCAGACCACGTGTCATTCTCTTGAGAATAAGATTCTTTTTAGGGTTCTATCCATATTCATGGTACCTTTAAATAAAGAAATGATATTCTAGGGAATGAAACGTGTTCTGAAATGGGAAAAACATTACGCCGGCACAAGATGAAAGGGTCTATGTAGATCTCATGATTTTTGTTTTTATTTTTGTTTTTAGATTTTGATTGAAGCAACTGTTGGTTCTGGACCTGTGGCTCTCGATGCAATTAGCTTCGCAAGGGGATCATGTTAATATTGTCTTAAGAAACAGTAAGTAAATGGCTAAATAAAACTTTGATTAGTTTGTTGGAGAAGAGAGGAGAGGAGAGGTTTTTTGGAGTTTGAAATAGCTTTATTGGCATGACCTAAAATTTTTATTAATTTTATTTTTTATTTTTTTATTTATTTAAACATATTTGACTAAACATTTGCCCCAAAAGCTGTAAAGCTTAACAAGGGGGCTCACATCCGTAATATTTACAGTACAAAGAAAGGAAATTAAAACTAGCAAAAGCGAAATGATGAAAACAGGAAATGAAAAAATAATTAATCTTTGGTGAACAAAAAACGGTTTGTAGCTAATATGTACTTTTGTACTTCAGTGAAAAGTTCATGATTTTTTCAAGTCTTAGTCTCTACAGCCATATAAAAACCATTTAAAATTTACAGGTATTGCTAAAGCAGAGCAGGGCCAGTGGCGGATCCAGGGGAGGGGTGCAGGGGGTGCGCACCCCTCCCTGGTTCGACTTTGTGCCCCTACTTCAATGATTTAAACAATACAAAATAATATTTTCCCCCTTTGATTCTAAGTGACGCATCCCTCCCTGGGTTAACTATGTGCCCTGCACCCATCCCTGAACAAATTCCTGGATCCGCCCCTGAGGGCAAGGCTAATGACTTTTCTCTTATTCTTTTCAGATTACAATCAACAAGCTCGCAAATCAAATAAAGATGATATGATCAAATAAACAATATTTAAAACTGAATCAATGTTTCTTAATATATGAAAAAAAAAACTATTGTTTCTTCGCCAAAAGTGGGATACGTATGAATGAACGAAATGAATAAATAAAAAACCTAATGAACGAAAGGAAGAAAAACAAAAGAAATGAAATCGCACTTAAGAACAATATATTTTCCTTCAAAATATTCGTACTTTTATTTCTACTGCAAAATTTGGCTTCATTTAAAGCTCGTTCAAGCATATGTAACCGTTTTACCAGATAACGATGTGTCGTACGCTAATATGATGGTTTTGTAAATGATGACACAATATTGATTTCTAAGATCAGCTTTGTCAAGAGTTCAAAAATAATTTCAAGTATGATAATTAATTTTTCCCCCTCGAACTTTATTTTTTTCCCCATGGAAGGAATCCAGTTCGTATACTGTTTCTTGGTGTTAAAGTTATGTGACTTACATGCAGAAGTATAGTTATTGTATGTTTGTTTAGATGTGTTTTAGCCTTTGAACCAAGCATGTCACAGAGGATACGTTTTATATGATAGACTGTGTAAACCACGCCACTCAACCAGAACAGACCAAACAATGCTACTGAGTACAAAATACCGTGTTTTGTAGCTTTTAAAATTAAGTCACAAACGATTACTTTGGCGGCGTTTGAAGTTCTTTTCACGAACTAACTCAGGAACTGAGAGACGAAGAAACAAGCCATCAAACACGTACCTTCATACGACAAAGCTGCTTCGATTTTAGCAATGAAATCGAACTTTTTCCTTGTTATATACGCAGTTTAAAGCCTTGTTCATGGTTTAATTCTTCCAAGGTAAGGTACAGTAACGTAGTTTTAAAACTAGTTACATTTATACCATATTCCTCAACTCACATTCCGAGGCGTAAATTCAGTTTCACAGGAATGTAAACTTTGCCAACTCACAAAATTCCACAAGGCAACACCAGAAAACTTTCCATAGTATTTTCAAGTCTTTCACGTCTTAAAATTTAAAGCTAGAACAAGAATTAAGATTTAATTAGGTAAGCATTTTACTTAAGATTATTATGGAGGCGTCTAAAATGTTAGTAATTGCATAAAAATGGAATGTTATCCGCCGGTAAAAGGGCATTTTTTAGAAAGTTTCCCTTCGAGTTCAATGACCAAACGTTAATTATTGTTTATCACACTGCAGGCTAAACTGAAGAAATTGTAGCATTCGTAGTTATTGCTACCTTGATCCTGACAAATTCTCTTCACTTGCCTGGTATGCTTCCGTAACAATAAGTATTTTTTCAATACAAGCGATACTTTTATTCCAGATTATGAGGACAACAAGAGTTCGTAATAAAAATTCAAATCCTGGACTGTTGATCAGTTGACTGAGTTTGAGCAATGCCACTTACCAGAAATTGAAGTCATGGTGCTTCAATGGAAAACTCACATGTTAGGAAAATTTATTATTATTATTTTATTGCTACTAGATAATAAATATTAGTAGAATCACGAAATTAATAGAATTAAAACTACGTTAAAAACATTTGTACTGCACTATAATATGCAAATGACAGCATCAAATACTCTGGCCATGATGGTGATGTTGCCTCGCAGTATCATCTTTACCCCTCCCCCCAATTACATGGGTGAAACAAAAGCATCTTCAAAGTAAAATAGTGATATTTTGCCGTATAATAATTTTTTGGAAAAAAATTAGAAGGTAAAAATAACGTTTTTCGTCACGTTCACATCTTTTATCCAAAAATATACAAGAAAGTTTTGGCTCCTATTGTTTTGCACTAAAAACACTCAGTGAGCAGACTGTTCAATATAAACAATTATTCGTTAGCTTCAGAGCAAATTTTTACATTGTACAGTGTTACGTTTCAGAGCCGAAAGTCTGTACGTGTACGTCTTCTCAGACCATTTCTAATATTGACAATAGTTTAACATCCTTTTAGCCATCTTGAATCAATTTTAATCTTTGATGTTAGTTTAGGCAAATAAAGGATCACAAGTCACTTGGGTTAGATAAACCGAGTTAGGCAGACCATTTGTTAGTGTTCTGTCTGTGTCAAAAATCCATAATATACTCGTTGTTTTGAATAGCAACTAGCATGATCTTACTAGCTGTTGGTAAAAACACTAAAAAATATATGTTACATTGGTATCATCTTACTCGTTAAAGTTTCTTGGTTTTGAATTTAGTACATTTTGTTTTATTTCCCCTTTATGTGTTCTTCCTTCCTTCCTTCCTTCCTTCCTTCCTTTCTTTCTTCCTTCCTTCCTTTCTTTCTTCCTTCCTTCCTTTCTTTCTAACAACAACTGAAGCTTATCCTCAAGTGATGTATTTGTGTGTTGGTCGCCAAAAAAAACCAAAAGTATAGTTTTTGATTCGAGCACTTCTTGTTAACAAATTATTTTCAGTTTGCTTTACAACTGAGTTTCGACGATTTGAAGTTTACTCAGAATCCAGTACTGTAGATATGGGTTGCTATGACGATGTCCTAGTCTTTATTCTGATATTGGTCACACTGTATCATCGGCTCTTAGGTAAGTCTTTTATTCATGACTCTTATCTATATGAATGAATTGTACCTTGATATATCATTGTTACCTATGGCAAAACGTTTGCGACATTTTTTAAAGTGGTGACCTATTTTTGGGTCCAACTGCTTATTTGCAGCTTCTTATATGCAGAATCTCGTCTAGCAGGCAGCAACTTATCAAGCATGCAGCAAATCGTTTCTCATTTGCAGCAATTCGTCTAACATGTAGCAACTCGTCTGTAATATGCAGCAACTCGTCTGTAATATGCAGCAACTCGTCTGTAATATGCAGCAACTCGTCTATAATGAAGCAACTTGTCTAACATGCAGCAACTCGTCTAACATGCAACAACTCGTCTAACATGTAGCAACTTGTCTAACATGCACTAAGCAACTCGTTTAACATGCAGCAACTCGTCTAACATGCACTGAACAACTCGTTTAACATGCAGCAACTCGTCTAACATGCAGCAACTCGTCTAACATGCAGCAACTCGTCTAACATGCAGCAACTCGTCTAACATGCAGCAACTCGTTTAGCTTGGTGTATGCTCTTCATCGTCATCGTCCTCCTCACCAACATCTTCACCCTCACCAAAACTAACTTTTGATTTCTTTTCGTAGCTATTTCTATATGCGAAGTCAATTTGATACAGGCACAAGAAGGGGAGGTAACATCGCCAAACTTTCCATACAACTATCCAAGCAACACCAACTGCACATTAGTCATTGATGTTGGACCAAACAACAGGATTGATATTGAGTTCAAAGATTTTCGCGTTGAAGAAAACGATGATAGTGAGTCAGTCGTACTATCTTACTAGCAAGTTGAAAACAATTTGGTTTGTTGGAAAATTTCCTGAAATAATCGTCACACTTTCATCGATCTCAAATTTTCTCTTCGTGCTTCGTGGCTCAAAACTTACTTTGCCTTATTTATACGCTTTTTTGACATTTTAAATATACCTATACTGCGCATGACTAACTTGTATCTCAGATGTAATTTCATACCTCCCACATGGTATGAGGCAACTGAAGGAACTTAGTCATCAGAGCACAAATTTTTGATTTCGCTGTTCATAGCAAGGGGGGCTAATCTTACACGGTTTAGGTGCCGACTAACCTCTCCCTTAGGCCTCGGCCGAGCTCCCTGATCAGTCATTATGGATAGCGGTGTCGGGGCAGAAATCTCCGGCGTAGCCGTAAATGCTTCGCGCTGCCATACTGCGCTTCAGCACTGGGTCTGGAGGCATGGTCCTAATTTCAACAAAGAGCAAAAATTATATATTTATCAAAAGTGTTTTTAATTCTTCAAAATACTCTACTCTAAGTTGTGTGCGCATTTCTTGTGTGCATTTCTTGGAGAAATAAAAGTACACTTTGAATCTTTGATCTTTTTTCTTTTTTTCTTTCTTTCTTATATTGATATTGATATACTTAATTTACTATTATTATTTTCCAGTTATATCTTCCTTAGTTAGAACAAATCTTTTAATCTTTATATTTTAATTTCATATTTTTGTTAAGGCCCACGTAAGGGAGAGTATAGTTTTTTTTCTGTAATTACCGTTTTCCTAGTTCAATCTACCTATTTATTTATCGATCTACATCCTCGATTCATGTTACCCTTTCTAATACGATGTTTATCTCATTTTAGTGCCTGGTTCCTGCTTAAGCGCAGAATATTTAGAAATCTCTGAGGGAAGCAAAAACAAAATCTACTGTGGGTACAAACTGCCAACGAGGTACCAGTCTACTGCAAGTAACGTCACAATACGGTTTATAACAGACAAGCACATAAATTACATGGGATTTCGACTGCTTTTTAGCACGTCTAGAAAAGGTACAGCAGATTCTGAAATGCCGGGCGTTATATTATGCTAGAGCATGGCACAGTTTATAACAGACAAGTACTTCGATTACATGGGATTTAGATTGCTTTTTAGTACGTCTAGAAAAGGTACCCAGTATAGGCAATGTTGCCATTATATATCACTTGTACGCGCAGATTTCGAAATGCCGTTTGTTATATTATGATAGAACATTGCACATAGCAGACACTTACTTAATGACATAGGATTTAGATTGCATTTTAGCATTCCTAGAAAGGGTACCAGGCAGTATAGAGAATGTTACCGTTATATATCACTTGTAGGCGCAGATTCTCAAATGTCGTGCGTTATATTATGATAGAGCATGGCACATAGCAGACACTTACTTTAATGACATAGAATTTAGATTGCATTTTAGCACGTCTAGAATGGCTACCC